GAAGTGGTTCCTGATCATTTCAAATTGCCCATGTTCCCCAAACCTTAGTATGCAGTAGAATGTCAATATTCTGGTGTGGTATTTGTGTTTCCCTCCTTCTTTATGTCATGCCACACAGTTACAACCTTGTAAACTGACACCTTTTATTAATATGGCATAGGTACTGACCTGAGCTGAGGAGCACAACAAGTAAAGAAATAGCTAAGACCTGTGTGAGCCTCATTGCGATCACTTGCGATGTCCACAACAGTTCCTAGGAGAAGGTTTAAAACATTGTATGTTAGACATTAGTAAGAGAGTCACACCTTCCCCCCTCCCAGGTTTTACCAAGATTAGATTCTGTAGTTTTAGGTCTGTCTACTTGTATGATTTAATATTGCAGCAGAACCATACAGATAAAATGGTGTTCTACAAGTCCATCCAAATCTCTATACACGATCAAGAGTAGGCGTTCTGCTTTTGTTACAAGGGACCTGCAGAAGGTGAGGCATTTTCGGGATTTACCATAGAAGGATCAGAACATTTACTAGAGTTCCATGTAATATTTTTATAGTTCTAAAACTGAGCTATGGAGTTAAAATCAGGTACCGAAGTACCTATCTTTGTCTTCCAAGCCACCCAAAGGTTCCTTCACATCTTTTTTTTTTTATATATAGATATATATATATAGATAGATCTATATAGATATATATACATATATATATCTATATAGATCTATCTATCTATCTATCTATCTATCTATCTTCCAGAGTTCCCAGGAAGTTTCTAGGTTAAGGAGGGCTAATTATTAGACATGTACGCTGCGGAAAATTTCGATTTGGTTTGGATATTTTGTTATTTTGGAATTCGAGATTCGGTTCGGGACTCGGACGAAATCAGATTTCCGTTAGTTTCGGATGAATTTACGAATATTCGTTGCGAGTAAAACAGAAAACCATACACCCATATTCATACTAAAGCTGAATCTCCTAGACCCGAATGGCATTGGTGATCCGAATTTCCGAATTACCTTTGGGAGTTCATGAATGCCATTCGGGTCTGGGAGCCTCAGCTTTGGTAATATATGTGTATGGGTCCCAGACCCAAATGGCATTCAGGTTCCAAATTTTCTAATTGCATTTGGGAGCTCCCGAATGCTATTCGGGTCTGGGAGCCATATACATATATTACTAAAGCTAAGGCTCCCAGACCCGAATGGCATTGCATTCGGAAATTCGGATCCTGAATGCCATTTAGGTCTAGGAGCCTCAGCTTTAGTATTATATGTATATCCTGAACACATATTCATTATGACATGTGACTTTTCTGGCCAAATCAGATGGCTTCAATGTTGCCGTAAAGAAAATTGCTGTTCAGACCCATTTGGATGCATTAAACCGAAAAACACATCTGATTGGCCAGAAAAGTAACATGTTCGATTCAGTTTAGTTTTTGAACGGAATTCGGATGGGATCTGAAATTCTGATTGACACATTCGGATGCATTGGGATTTGGAAATTTGGATGAGTCCAAATTTTGGAAAATTTGTCTGAATTTTGATTTGGAACGAAACGAATCACACATGTCTACTCAGTATGCCTATGATAGCTTGTAGCTCAAAGGTTGGAAGTATTGCACCTTCTACACTTGGATCCCTCTAGGTATCTGCTTTTAACTCCTTAGGTCAGTTTTAAAACTATCAGCATGAAGCAGGTTAACTTTTTAGTGACCTAGACCCAGACAACATTATCCTTCAAACAGTGGGGGCTAAGGCAACTCTGAGTGAGAATAAATGAATGAATGTGATATTCATCAAATTGGTGAGCCTTACCCATTTATTTGCCGTGAATTCGCTCAAGGACTCAAGTATGTTGGATGCTTACAACTGTAACAGCAGTTGAATATGTATGAGGGACGTGAACCTAAAAATATGATTTTTCCAAGACAAAGCCTTAAAGGGTATCTATACCCCAAGTTTTTCTTTAAGTTTTGTATAGAATGTGGAAATGTAAGAATCCCTGCCTGGTTATACTTCTTTGCTGGGCTCCGTTGGAGAGATTTCCCCTCATTTTCTGTTCTGGCAACAACATTTTACTGGACAGGAAGTAAGGGAAAATCTGCAACTAGTAAACGGACAACAATAAAAAGCTGACAGAGGTTCTAGCATTTCCCTACTTAACGTAAAAAGTGCATTTTTACTTCTGTCCGTGTTACTGTTAGAAAGACTTCCCCTTACTTCCTGTCATGGGAACAAACATTATAAAAAAAAATGTCTATAGATATAGTTTAAACTGATATACTGGTAGAGACCAGACCTTAGGGCAAGATTAACCTAGTAAAGTTGCCAGTCGAGCCCTTGGCCTTTACTGAAACAAAAGAAGGAATTGTTTTACAGGTCAGTGGGGTAATGGGACGAGTTCATTTGTTTTGACATTTCCAGTATGTATAAAGCGTTCAAATGTGAGAACACAAAATCATTTTGGGTTCAACGATGTAACTGTTGCCATAGAATACGTTCTTTCCAGCAGTACAGGAAGCCCTGTATAATTTGGTAATATCCAAGAAATAGAGAAGAGCACACTTTTGAAAAGTTCAATTAGTTGTGAAGCGTTGGAACTTTTTAATTTTTTTTTTTTAAACTACAAAATTATTATATTCGCATTTATTAACAAAAGGGTGAAGAGTTTGGGGAAGGGGCCCTGAAAGAAGTAATGTCGTTTAGCTGGAAAAAAGACAAAATGCAATATCTGGGTATCTCACTGACTTCTAGCACTACAGAACTATTCAGGGCCAATTACATGACTATGTTAAATGCGATCAAAAAGGATCTTAATAACTGGTTTAATCATCATCCATGTATTTCCCTTACGGGTCGGATAAATATTATCAAGATGATGATACTACCAAGGGTATTATATATATATCAGACAGTGCCGATTACATTGCCAAGTTTTTTTCTACGAGCGCTTAAATTGGTTGTCAGTCGTTTTGTCTGGAGACGTTCACCTGCTAGGATCTCTCATGGAACTTTGGTTAGGACTAAAGGTCAGGGAGGTCTAGCACTACCAGATTTTAAAAATTACTACCAGGCTGTCGCTATTAATAGATTGTTAGATTTGCACTTTTTTCACGAAACTAAACGCTGGGTAGAGATGGAGAATGAACATGCTGGACAAATAATTTCGACTATTTGTTGGATTCCTCAAGAACATTGGAAACTACATCTCCATACCTCCCCTCTGACACGACACACTTTAAAAATTTGGAAAGCACAATACCCCTGGCTAATAGGGCAATATAATTCACCTCTAATGCCAGTTGTAAATCACTCTTTTTTTCTACCTGGGATGCACAATACAGGTTTTCTTAAATGGACGAACCACACTATTTTAAAGCTTTACCATGTAAGTGATGGACACAAACCACATACTTTAACAGATCTTCGAGCACAATGGGGGACTTACCCATTTGATACATGGAGGCATAGACAAATATCACATTTTATTGCATCACTCCCAAAACCGCACGATATCAGGACTCACATTAATGGAAAAATTATTTTTTTCTACTGACAGCCCACGACACGGCATCTCTCAAATTTATAGGATTTTGGTACACTCTCAACCTAACCTATTCCCACGATATCTGAAGCAGTGGGAACAAGAACTGGAGACAACCTGGACGGACGCGGAGAAACAAAAAATTCTAAGTCGCAATGTAAATTCGTCCATAAACACGTTAGTGAACGACACAATGTTCCGTTTTATAGCTAGGTGGTACTACACACCTGAACGTGTACATAAAATGCATTCAACCAGGACAGAGTTGTGCTGGAGAAACTGCGGTAATACTGGGAACTATATTCACATATGGTGGTCCTGCCCTAAACTTCAACCATTTTGGGGCCGGGTGGTGGACAACATAGAAAAAATTACAACTATCGCTGTGCCCTTGGAACCAGGGGCATGTTTATTCCATCTTATGGATCCTCCGAACATGGCATATAAACGATCACTGTTATACCCTTTGATTAACGCGGCTAAGATTCTGATACCACAGCACTGGAATAAAGAGACTATACCAACTATGAAGGAATGGTATAACAGAATAGAATACTTTCGATTAATGGAGGAATTGACAGCAATCCGGAGAGACACAGTGAAACAATATGAAATTACGTGGCAACAATGGAAGGAATTTAAAAATCTGTACGGAAATCTAGAAGATACAGGATAGAAATATGTGGATAAATAGGAAGACCAAAAGAGAGGGCCGGAGCCTTGGGAGTTGTAGGCGCGAAGGGTCCATTTAAAATTAAAATTATTTGAGTAAAGTAGAATAGAGAAGAAACTCGATAGGATTGCCAGATCTCCCCCACATACCCCCCCCTTTTCCTCTTTCTCTCTTCCCCCCCTTTTTGAATTTCCCTTTTTTTTTTTTTTTCTTTTCTCCTTCTTGTGTGTAATAAATAAGGTAAATGTAAATCAGATACGTTGTACTGTATAAAATACTAATAAAATCGAATAATTAAAAAAAAAAGAGTTTGGGGAAGGCAGGGGAAGTGAACAATCTAGGACAGTGGTGGCGAACCTTGGCACTCCAGCTGTGCCAAAATTACAAATCCCAAGATGCATGTGCCTCTGGGAGTTATGTCTGTGGCTGTCAGAGCCTTGCAATGCCTCATGGGACTTGTAGTTCCAAAACAGCTGGAGTGCCAAGGTTCGCCATCACTGATCTAGGACAACATAGCTGAACTGGAAAGTGAGCTGAATTAGATAATTTTTCCAAATCAGCTATTTTGGCCTAGATTGTTGACTTCTACTGTCTACTCCCAACTCTTCACCCTTTAGTGAATAACCCTGTTAATTTCTGAACCGGAAATCCAATTGAAATCAATAGGAATCCACGCCAGACCCAAAAAGTGTGTATTACAGAACAGCAAATGATGCATAATTATGTAGAATGGTTTCAGAAGTCCTTGGCAGCCTGGCCTGATTAGATGATGCCAAAAAACAGCCTGAGTCACTTCTGTAAGGGATATTAAGATAGAAGGGTGGGGCCTGTTGAAACTGGCAGTCAGGCTAAAGGTGCCCATACACCTTACGATTATCGGACGAAACTTTTCGTCCGATCGAATAGTCGTACGATTTTCGTACGGCAGCCCAATCCTGCCACGATGATTGGAAGATTAATTTAGCCGTAATTAACGAAAAGCACCTGGACGAAATGCGGTAATTGATTTGCCGTATTTTCGTTAGCGCAAGCGCAGTGTAG